GCGATTTGATAATGAATGGCGCTATTTGTACAGATAAGCATTTTGACTATCACAAAAATATCAATTCATTGTAGATAATTACAATGCTATTGTCATCAGCTGTAAGTAATGGCGGCTTTTGCAATGAATCCATTATTCACTATTTTGGGTTTTTGCATAGGATATTAAAATATAGCAAAAGCATCTTCCAATTAATAACAATCAGTGCTGATTAACGCTGCTATTAGTAATTTTAAAATTTTTATTCCCTTCATAAATTTAAATTTGTAAATTTGAACTTTTAAATTCAAAAAATTTGAATTTTTTTGTGTTTTTTTAATTTGAATTTTATTCCCTCTTAGATTTGAATTTGTAATTTTAGAAAATTACCTTTTCTTCTAATTCAATCATTTGTTTGAAAAAACCAACATTAGGACAAATAATGTTTCGTATATTTTGCACTTCCTTATAAGCATCTCGTAAGGTCATCTTCTCCATACACATCAAATATGCAACAACAAAGGTTGCTGACCTATAAATTGAATGATGCTATAACTCATTATGACAGATTATTTATACAACATTCAGAAGAAAATGAAACTACAAAAGAGAAGTTTCCTGATTGGAGGAAACTGGAGAAGCTTCCTGATTCACAAGTCGTCCAGAAAAATCACCTTATGTATTAACTCTCACCTCAGTTGATCTTAAAAACTCCCGCAAAGGTATTCAATGAAAAGTTTTTACCGGGATATGCCCATACCACAAAAAATGAGCACTTTGCCACCATTTTTTTTTTTGATCATCAATTTTACGGAATACAATATGCCAGTATGGACTTAAATCTGTTCCTTCGTCATCTTCAATTGGAATATGAAGGACGGAGAGATGTGACGGCGCAAATTGTCGGAGACCTGCCACACAATTGATGATACAAGTGAATCTGAATTCAAGTCAACACAGATGTCATTGCATTGGTTGAATAAATTCCATATATTAATTATGGCTTCTCTCGTGATTGCAATGAGCTTTCTTTGGTGGTAATTAATTTTAATTTAGTCTCATAATAGAATCATTACTTGCTTGTTATTATATTATTGTAAATTATAAGCAAGACAAATGCGCTTACGGTTTCAGCGATGTTGGCGTAAGTGGTGCCAATCCACTTAGATAGAGGAAAGGTCGAATCTTGGATATCTTTGAAGAATCTTGAGAAATCACTTTGGAAGTTGTCATTGCTGTAAGTTGATAGAAATATTGAAAGTCTTGCTAGGTGGTCTAAAGAAGTATTAGCCAAGGTATAGTTGTTAAAAGAATGAAAAGAAAAGCTATCGTGGTTGTTATGGTGCTAATAGTCGATGTGTATCAGTGGAAGAGGAAAATATTGGAAGAAATATAATTGGACAGGAGATGGGCCAAGATTGATGCTGCAAGCAAGCAGTCTATTGCTGCCTGAAACAGGAACTAGGCCTCTTATTCGTCTAATCCACAAGCCTTAAGGAATATTCTTTGCAGCCAAAGTGGTAATAGCAAATGATCATAGATTCTTTATCTATCATCAGATTTGTGCATTTTTCAAAGTTAACTTGTCTGCTTTTACCGTCATTATTTCCATTGCTATACCTTGTACCAATAGTTTTTTTTTCAAAATCTGTAATCGCTTTGAAATGTTACTCGTGCTCTTATTCAATGCTTGAACTAACACCTGAAAACGATGATTACTTTTGCGCTAATGAATCATTAATTACAATTAACCATGAATTGACGACACGTACTTGCGCATCATGGGAAAAATTTTGCGTGGTAAATCGTTTTTTCCTTTTTGCAAATTATATATATATATATTTCAACCAATTAGAACTTCCCGAGAATGTCTTGAATGACTGTCTTATATCGTTTCTATCAAGTTAATAAGTAGTCGAATACAAATGACCTTCGGTAACTACTCATGGCTTTTTTTTGAAATGTTTTAATAAGAGAAGCATTATCATAGGTATGATCTGTTGTCATGATCTAAATTCGTTAGCAATTAGAGTAAGCTTAGAATGATAAGTTATAGATGAAATATGGTGTCTTAAACTTATTCGGTAGAAGATAATAGAAATGGTAATCATTTATGATAAGAGAAGGTTGATAAAGTGAAAGTGAACATAAACAATGAAAAGAGAAAAGAAAAATAAATAAAGAAAAGAAGAAAAGAAAAAAAAATAAGAAAAATGAAATGATTCCAGACTACAGTGGAAACATCATTAAAAGCATTCAGTGCTGTGATACGAACTTGCAGTGACATCTGTCGTGAACCTTGTGAATCAGATGGCTATGGAACAGATATGGTTCGATGTGATGAATGTTGTACTGAAGACTTCTGTAATGGAAACTATTCCGTTCGTCATTATATTCAACTTATGAAACAACAATATACTTCCTGGATTGAACCATTAGTGGGCGAGAAACATTACAATCGTATCAATAATATTACTTTTCCTTATTAATCTTTGCTCTTACAAATAAGCACAAATAGGTTTTATGAATATTCCTAATTAAATTGTAATTAATTTAACTCTAATTGTTATCTATTTTCCTGTGAATAGATTAAAATTATGTTTTAGTCCTTTTTGTCACATCACCAAGGTTGAAGTTTATAAGTGGTATAAAAGAAGTTTTGGAATAAGAAAAGATCAACTGATTATCTGATCTCATTGAGAGTAAAGTAGAGAATTATAGGAGGAAAAAAAGGGCGCTGTTAAGGATAAGAATTTATAACAAATATTGTTATGAATTAGTGGATGACTATTGAGTAAAGAAGAGAAGAAGGAAGAGCTTTTATCAGTATTATCAGTTGAAGTAAGGTTTCCATAACATCTGTCAACGTGAGTGAAAATGAAGCACAGAGAAAATGAGATGAAGGAGAAGATGGATTACGAGAGGATGTTGAAATGATTGTGAAATTTATCGGATATGTTATCATTATAAGTGTGCAAAAGTGCTTTTCGTAAATTGACGAAATGATCTATAATAAAACATTTTTTTTTGTGATAAATTCCTTTTTTTACATTTCAAGTTATAAGCAATAAGTTTGAATAAATATGATTAATAAGCAATAAATATAATAAATAAATGAATGAATTAATGAATAAGGAACTAATTTATTTGAAAATTAAATTTATTGCTTTTAACCAAAATAAAAATTACAAGAAGTTATAAAATGCAAAACATTCATCCAAAT